CTGCCTCACAAGCGCAAGGTCCCGAGTTTGATCCCCGGTACCAAAAAAAAAAAAAAGAGTAAAAGTACACTTATTTTGATGTTGTTGGCCTTAAGTATGTGCTGTAAAATATTTTTTAAAACTGAGAAAATATGATATCACATGATATGCTCCAAAATTTCTTTTCTTTTGGTACCGGGGATCGAACTTGGGTCCTTGTGCTTGCATAGCAGGCGGTGAAACCACTGAGCTAAATCCCTGGCTCAAAATTTAAATGATATAGTTCTATTTCCAATTTTTATTCTTTATTTGTTCATATACTATTTCCTTTTGATCTTGATAATTTCTTTAATGTCTTGATTTTATTAACTTTGTCAAATTTTCTCTGTTCTGTCCTTAAGATTCTAAAATCAGAAATGCTCAACCACTGAAAAGATAACTTATTCTTTACCTGGAATAAATAAATATTTTGCACGAAATCCCAGTCCTTCAAGTTCTTCATCAGAACTAAACTTCATCCACATGAATCTCTCTGTTGAGCTAATTAATGGGGGGCTTTTCATGCCACGGTAGCAATCTATAAGAGCAGAAAAAACAAATGGCCCATCTCGAACTTCCAAGTGATCAAAGCGACATTCAAATGATGGTTCTATATAATAATGCTCATCGAAGGTCAACTCTATTCTTTGACATGGAGCAGCTTCCAAAATGTAGATACTCTCCTTGTTTGGTGGATATGAATCAGGATAATTTGGTGAAGCAAAATGACCTCCATTGCTAGTTCGAACCCAAATGCCACACTGAGTTGCAGGAATGTGCTTGATTCCAATATTTTGTCCATCTTGGGTCTTTTGGGGCACAGAGATCCCTTCCATTACAAGTATCGTTATTAACACTTTAGGACCACGCACAGCTGCTCCAGGGCCATGTTCTCGAGCGTCCAGACGCTTCAGAGGGCCCAAGGCAGGGCTCAAGCGACTGCCCTGCGCCGTCCCCAGGGCCAGCCCCCGCGGGGGGATCCCGCACAGCACGCGTGCCCCTTTGGCCGCTGCCTCTCACTCAGTGGCCTGACGAGCGGGGAGGACTCTTGAGCCACTGCACCCATCGCCCATCGCCTGGCGTGGGCTGTGCTAAAGTGCCAGGCTCGGGGTGCCCCGGCTCATTCAAGCAGGGAGCGTGAGTGCCGCGTGCTGGCCCAGAATGCTTTTTTTTTTTTTGGTACCGGGGATTGAACTCAGGTCCTTGCTCTTGCGCAGCAGGCGGCGAAACCACTGAGCTAAATCCCCGGCCCCTCCAGAATGCATTTTTAATAGAGTGGTCAGGATGGTGTCACCTTGTGAAGATATTTGAGCAAAAACTTGGAGGGCATGAGGAAGTGAGCCATGTAGATACCTGAGGGAAGAGCACTGGGCAGAAGAGCCAGCCAGTCCAAAGACTCCCAAATGGGAGGGTGTCTGATCTGTTCAAGAGCCAAAAGGCCATTGTGGCTGCAGCAGAAATGAGGATGAGGTGATGAGAAATAGTGGAGTTTGGTGGCACGACAGGCGTAGCCTTGTAGGCCTTTGTGAGAACTTGCTCTGCCTTTACTCTGGGTGGGAAGGGAAGAGCCCATGAGTGTTTTGTACTTACTTCTTTAAAGTGGGGGAGCAAGGGTGAAGCAAGGACTAAAGGGAAGCAATCACAGGACTCCAGGAATGAGATGATGCTGGCTCCAGCAGGGAGTAACAGTGAAATAGTAAGGAATGGCTAGATTCTGGATTCATTTTGGAAGTAGAGGCAACGTGATAGAAATGCTAAATAGATGGGATGAGGGGATGAATGGGAAAGGTAGCAAGGATGAGTGATTAGAAGGATGAAGTTGCAAGAGCTGGACTGGGAAAGACTGGGAAGATTTGGCAGGAAGAGCTGAAGTTCAGATTGAGGTAATCTTGTAGAGATGTCTATAAGGTATCCACGTGATGTTGAGTAGCAGTTGTGCCTGTTAGCCGGTGGTCAGAAGAAGAGATACTTGGGCCAGAGATTTGAATTTGGGAATCTGGGGACACATTTATATTTTATCTGAAGCACAAACACCCTCCCTCCTTTTTTTTAGTTTTTTGAGTCAGGGTCTCGCTCTGTCATTTAGGCTCTGGCCTTGAACTCACTATGTAGCCCATGCTGGCCTCAAACTTGTGGCCATCCTCCTGCCTCAGTCTCCTGAGTGCTGGGATTACAGGCATGTGCCACCATGCCCAGGCACATTTTCATATCTCCAAAATTGGGATGAATCTTATAATGGATGATGTGTCAGTTTAGCTGGCACCAGTTTCTTCTCCTCAGTAAACCTTAAATTATGAGGTATGTTTATGTTTGGTGGATTGTGAGATTGGATGCAATATCATAGACAGTATTTAAAGGGAGGAGACTGGATGAGCTCATCAAGGGTGCAAGGGTGGACACAGAAGAAAAAACACCAACAAAACACCAAAAAAAACCACCAAAAGAAAAAAACACTAAGCCCTGGGATACCCTAGGGTTTAGAAGTTAGAAAGAAATGGAGAACCCAACAAAGGAGATGGGAAAGGAGCAGCCAGTGAGACAGAAAGAAAACCAGTTATGATGCCTAAGAGCCAAGCAAGAGTGTGATCAGTGGTGTTGGATGCTGCTGATAGGTCACATAAAATGAGGTTGAGACTTCAGCATTGGATTTAGCAATGTGGAAGTCAAATACTCTGACAGGGTGTTTTTGGTGAAGTGGCCAGGGTGAAAGCTTATTTGGAATTAGTTTAAAATGAAATAACACCTGGACATGCTGATGCTTGCCGGTAATCCCAGCTACTCCAGAGGCTGAGGCAGGAGAATCTTGAGTTTGAGGACAGCCTAGGCAACGTAGCCAGACCAAGTCTCAAAAACAACAACAGGACAGGGGATGTAGCTCAGTGGTGCTGTGCCTGCCTGGAAGTAACAGATATAGGCAATTCTTTTGAGATACTTTGCCACCAAGAGGAGCAAAGCAAGGGTGAGGTCAGGAGGTAGTACCTAGCTGGAGGAAGTAAGGCCCGGAAGTTGTGTTTTAGATGGAAGAAGTCACAAGATATTTTTATATTGGCGAGAATGTTTCAGTATAGAGAAAGATAGGTAATGTACGAAAGCATGAGGAGAATGGTTGTAGAGCATGGTGCTGCACACCTGTCATCCCAGCACTCTGGGAGACTGAAGCAGAAGGTACATGAGTTTGAGCCCAACCTGGGCAACTTAGTGACTCAGTGCCCCTGTCATAAAAAAGGGCTAGAGATGTAGTTCAGTGAGAAGGCCTGGGTTCAATCCGGGGTGAGGTGGGGGGGACCAAGAAAAAAACAAGGGAAAAAAAGATGGTTAACTTTTAGGTAGGAGCATGCATTATGTGTCTAGAAAAATCATCTAAGTTTCTAAATTGCTCAGGCTGGGCTCAAACCTTCCAGAGTAGTGGGATTACAGGTGTGTACCACCGCACTCTGCAGACAACTCTCTTAATTGTATTGGTCTTTCATACCACACCAAGGGGCGGTAATTACTGGCCTCTGTGTTTATATAGTGCTCTTGGGTGTTTTTATTTGTTAGTAATATTTTTTAAACTCTCTTTCCTAAGTTAGAATTGTTAGGCTTTAACTCTTTTTGGTACCGGGGATCGAACTCGGGTCCTTGCGCTTGCTCAGCAGGCGGTGAAACCACTGAGCTAAATCCCCGGCCCTAGGCTTTAACTCTTTAAATCAACTATAGGGTATTCTAAAGTCACTTCATTTGTTCATCCCCTATTTGTTGGTCCCTGTTTTAGTTACTTTTCTCGTTGCTGAGACAAAATATCCAACCCCCAAAGTTCAAGGGGGAAAGGTTTATTTGGTTTACAGTTTGTAGATGTTTCAGTCTATAAGCAGCTGGTTCCAAGGCAGAGTGGCAGAGGGGCAACAATTCATGGTGGCAGAAGACAGCAAAAGCAACAAGGGACCTTAACAATGTCTTTCTACCCCTTTTATCCCATCCAGACTACTGGAATTAGGGCATTGCCAAACCACTCACTCAGTGTAATGGTTTAGTAATCACAGGCCCTTAATCACAGCACCACACATTCCAGATTCAGCCACCTCTAAAAAAGAGGCCCCACCTCATCTGCATGAGGCTTTTTTTTTTTTTTCGGTACTAGGGCCCGAACTCGGGTCCTTGCGCTTGCACAGCAGGCAGCGAAACCACTGAGCTAAATCCCCAGCCCTGCATGAGGCTTTGACACAAACCATAACAATCCCTGTGGGTATGAGGGAGAGACAAGAAAAGTGGAATCTATGCTCTGAGAATTATTCATGGTCTGATGTGTTGGAGATTGAGACATGGTGTAGTGAAAATGCAGTGCCACAGTTTGAGTCAGAGTGTTGTGGAAACAAATAGCAGCTTAGCCCCATTTCCTAGATGTGTATTTAGCTCTGCATTTATTCTTTCCCTTCTCCCATACACCCTAACCTTCTAAATTAGATTTTGTTTGCACATTAGGTGGTGGTACATGCTTGTAATCTTAGCATTCTGGGAAGCTGAGGCCAGAGGATTGCAAGTTTAAGCTCAGCCTGGGCAATTTAGCAAGTCCCTGTCTCAAATGAAAAAAGGACTGGGGGATGTAGCCTCAGTGACCTGCTTGGTCTCTTCCCTCTGCTGTGATACCTATAGTATAAAAGTGCCTGAGACATAGTAGATATTCAGTCATAACCGTTGAATGAATAAACACACAGATGTGTATAGTATCTACAGATCTGTTCTCTTGCTGGAAGCAGACTTCAGATTTGACTCCTTGGTAAAAACAAATAAGGAAACAAAATGAATTATGTGGGTCACATGGTGCATCAAATAAAAAACAAAAGGCTATATAGGAGAAACCTGGTATAAAACTTGAAAGACAGTTTTCCTTTCAATGCTCAAGACCCAACACTTAATTATACATTTTGTGTATTTTTCTAAAATAGGACTGAACCACCACCTTTTTTTTTTGGTACCGGGGATCGAACTTGGGACCTTGCACTTGCGAGGCAGGCACCGGAACCACTGAGCTAAGTCCCCAGCCCCACCTTTATTTTTTTAGTTCTGAAGAGTGAACCCAGGGCCTTCACACTGAGCTACATCCCTAGCCCTTTTTATTGAGACAGGGTCTTCATTAAGTTGTCTAGCTGGACTCAAACTTACAATCCTCCTGCCTCAGCCTCCTAGAGTGCTGGGCTTCCAGGTGAGCACTGCCACACCTGACTTGAACCACCATCTTTGGCGGAGTACCATACAACATGGTCACTTAGATATGTACTATGGTATCTCACCTTGATCCCTGCTTTTTTGTTTTATTATTCACACAGGGCTCATGAGCAGCTAAATGTGAAACATGAACCACTCCAGCTCATCCAGCCTCAATTTGAGATGCCGCTGCCTGCCCTTCAGCCTGCTGTGAGTAGGTGTTTGGGGTCCTGCTTCAGAGCCTCACTGTTTACTCTCCCCTCACCCATGGATGTGGCCTCACTGCACATCCTTCCATTTGCCATTTGTGGTGCTCCACATGGAGTTGTAGTGCTTGACTACTAAACACCCTCCAGCACCTAAACTGTTAGTATTCCATAGGGATTTCCATGTGAGCTCAGTACCTAGCTGAGGATTCAAAGGTGTGGGCTTTTCTGGCTATTAAACATTTTCCATCTTGTGGGGCTGGAGGACATATATGAGAGTGCCTGGGTAAAGAGAAAAGCTGGACTGGGATGTAGCTCAGTGGTAGAGCACTGGCCTGTTGTGCATGAAACCCTGGGTTTGATCCCCTGCATGAGAGAGCAAGAGAGAGAGATGAGAAATAAGGAAAGCATTGTGCTGTCTTCCACGCGTTGGACACTCAGGCTCATAGCATAAGTCTAACAGCCTAGAGGGTAGTCATGTATGGACAGGATATCTTCTTCTCCTCTCCACCACCCCCCACCACCGGGGATTGAATTTAGGACCTTGTGGTTGTGAGGCAGGCGTGGCACCACTGAGCTAAATCCTTGCCCCTAGGACAGGGTACTTTTTTAAAAAACTGGTCCAGCATTAACTTTACCTCCCCTATTTTTTCTGTCCCAGTGCATTCTGCAGTGTTTTTGTTTTTGTGCATTCTCCAATGTTATGACCCAGTTGGCTTTTTTTTTTTTTGGTATTGGTGATCAAACTCAGAACCCTGCTCTTGCAAGGCAGGCAGCGGAACCACTGAGCCAAACCCCCAGCCCAAGTTGGCTTTAGCTTGCTAGGTTGAAACTGGCTGTGATGGGAGTATTTACATCATAGAAAATGGAAAATATTACAAATTAGATTTTTTCACTTTAGGTTTTTTTTTTTTGGTACCGGGGATCGAACTCAGGACCTTGCACTTGCAAGGCAGGCGATAGAACCACTGAGCTAAATCCCTGGCTGTAGATTTTTTTACTGTTTTGAGAGCTGGTAGTGAAATATTTACCAGCACAGCACTGGTCATACCTATGCATTCTGATTCTAAGTTCAGTACTTTCTACACTAATCTACATTTGCTTCCTCAGATAATTTCTGTACCTAAAGATCTCATAATTAAATAAGAAACCAGTTGTACAATCAAATGTTCCACACAAGCCTAAGTCTTCAGCTTTGCATCATTGTGCTCAGTTAATTGCCATTGGTGTGTCAGCTGGTCAGTTTAATGGTACAGCTAGGGCTGGTTGCACTCAGTTGCTCACAGCGTCGTCTTGCTTGACTGGGTCTAATGGGTGAGGGCTGGAGGAGGTGGTGGGAGTTCGGGTGGTTCGAACCAGGCTAAGGGCTGAGTTGGCCTTGCATTTCCCCTGTGTCCCATCACTCTTAATTATGGCTTTAGATAACTCTTAGGAAAGATTCTTTCCTTTAGGTTTTCCCTCCCAGCTTCAGGGAATTGCCACCTCCTCCTCTGGAACTGTTTGACTTAGATGAGACGTTTTCCTCCGAGAAGGCCCGGCTTGCTCAGATTACCAATAAGTGTAAGTTTGGCTGATTTTAAAATTTTGTTTTCTATTATGAGTATTATTTAACCATGAATTTCTGAGATTTGCTGTAAGAGAAGCTTAGAGATTATTTAGGGAAACAAAATATGAACAGATGTATAAAGTTAAATTTTTGTTTATTTCATGTGAATGATACTCGTTTTTCTCAAGACCAGTTACCTCCATGAGTCAGAACATGGTGCTAAGCAGAAAGCCAGAGGTCTCAGCTTTGATCCCTGTAGCCCCTTAGTTCTGACTTATTGAGTGACCACACGTTGAATCCTGACCCAGGCTTACCACCTAGAAAAATCTAGATCACTAGTCATAAGAACAGTTAGATAATGGGGCTGGGGATTTAGCTCAGTGGTTTCACCTCCTGCTGCGCAAGTGCGAGGACCCAAGTTCGATCCCCAGTACCAAAAAAAAGAGAACAGTTAGATAAGAAAAATGAATCAGGCCCAAAATGAATGTTATCTTTATGTATTACAAGCATATGCTAATAAAAACAAAAATTAAAAAAAAAAATAAAGAAAAAATGAACCAGGGCCTGAGGATCAACAGAAACTTCAAATTGGGAGGACCAGTGCACCCACCCTGAGCCATGTGTGAGGAAATGAGCCCCCAGGCCACACAGTTTGGGGTGAGGGGTGCCTGACTGTTGACTCCTGACATGCCCTGCCTCCCACACTGCAAACAGCCTGCACACAGATGCCCACCCGTGCTGAAATGGTGACCCTGCTCCTAGAAATCTAATTTAAGGAAATCAGTGAAGGTACACAGATTACATCTACACTGTTTATTTTAAAAATGCAATAAAATTGGGAGTAGCCTTGTGTCTACAGCAGGAGCTTGGTAGTAAATTGTGTCACATTCATGGGGGGGAGGTGTCAGGATGTAGTCATTATGAAAGAGATTTATAAAGTCCAGGGAGTAACATGGACAGAATTTAAGATTTAATTTAATTTAAGAGATAATCCTAATGAAGATAGCAAGATGCCAGGTGCAGCCTGCACAGAGTTGGATCCCTACTACATGACTAGATTTCTTTCAAAGACCTAAAAGGCATAAACAAAAATGGAAATAGTTCAATGTAAATAAAACATCTATTGGATCTCTGTTCTCTGCCAGGCATTGTGGCAGATGCCAAGCAATCAAAAATTAGTAAAACATAAAGATTAGTCGGGCGGGTAGTGCATGCCTGGAATCCCAGCACTCAGGAGGCTGAGACAGGAGGATTGCTATAAGTTACATAGTGAGTTCAAGGTGCGGGAATACATAGCAAGACCCTGTCTCAAAAGCAAACAAATAGATGTAAGGATTAATTCAGGAAGAATAGTAGATTGTGAAGAATCAGATGTGTTAGCCTATGGAAATCCTTGTAGAAATACAAATTAAAAATGATAGAGGGCTGGGGATTTAGCTCAGTGGTTCCACCACCTGCCTGGCAAATGCAAGGTCCCAAGTTCGATCCTTGGTACAAAAAAACAAAAAACAAAGATCAAAAAACAATACAGCTTTGTAGATATAAGTTACAGCATTAAAAATCAGACACAGGGCCAGGAATTTAGCTCAGTAGTTCTGCCACCTGCTTTGCAAGCACAAGGTCCTAAATTCAATCCCCAGTACCAAAAAAAAAAAAAAAGAAGCTGAGGCAGGAGGATCTTGAGTTTGAGGCTAGTGTGGGATACACAGAGACACTGTCTCAAAAAAAAAAAACAAATTGGAGGGTCAAGCGCAAGGTCCCGAGATCCCCGGTACAAAAAAAAAAAAAATTGGAAACTGTGTAATGTTTATCCATCAGTAGGGGGATTGATTTGAACAATTGTGAAGTGAAGTGGACTATTACACATATATTAAAAGAAAGTTGTAGAGCATGAGCTTTACATGGAATATCCATGGCATATTAAATGACGAAGGCAAGGGCTGCGGATGGAGCTCAGGATAGAGCACTGCCTAGATGCACAGGGTCCTCTGTTCAATCCCCAGCACTGCAAAAACAAATCCCATTTTGTGAAAACTTATATTTACACATGGAAGCATACACAGTAGTAATTACTGTAGATGCTATTGGTGGGGGTAGAGCTAGGATGAGAAATTTTTTTATGTAGTTAAAGCCTTAATGCTTGTTTTGGGATAGGCTTTTTTTTTTAATGAATAAATTTATCCCATTCCCCCCCCCTCAAGCTCCCACCCCTCCCTATGTACAAAAGCTTTGTTTCTATTCTTTCCTTCCATTTTCACATTTTTCTTGTCCCTTCTTCCTTTCTCCCTCCCTCCTCCCTCGTTCCCCTGCCCACTTGAACACTTTCTTCCTATTTCTCAACATCCATTATACATCTCAGTCCTTATTTCCACATTCAGTTTCTCACACCAGAGAAACAATGCAGTATTTAAACATGTGTGTCCGATTTATTTCACTTAAGATTATGGTCTCAAGGTCTATCCATTTAGCTATAAATGAAGCTCAAAGGATGAGAAATTGTTAGAACTGTATAGTGAACTTTTCTATGCTAACTTGGGATCAAACCCAAGGCCCTGTTCATGCTAGTCAAGTGCTCTACTACTGAGCCACAACACTCACCCAAAATGTTTTTAAAACTTAAATTTCTATCGTGACTTCTGTTTTTTATTTTTTTGGTACCGGGAATCAAACTCGGGTCCTTGCACTTCCAAGGCAGGCAGCGGAACTACTGAGCTAAATCCCCAGCCCTATCGTGACTTTTAAAAATGTACCTTAGGGCTGGGGATTTAGCTCAGTGGTTCCGACGCCTGCCTCGCAAGCTCAACTCCCGAGTTCGATCCCTGGTTCAAAACAAAAAAAGTTCACACTCACTAAAAATGTACCTTAGCTGGGCATGGTGGTACATGCCTGTAAATCCCAGCACTTGGGAGGCTGAAGCAAGAGGATCACCCCTAGTCCAAGGCCAGCCTGAACTACATATTGAGACCTTATCTCAAAAAACTAAAATAAATAAATAAATCAGAATAAAAAATGTAAATCAGAGGGGAAGAAAAGAAAGTCTATTGTGAGTAGGGCAGTAATGGCTGTACAACATAGATATAGAGTTGCTGTGGCCAGATGTTGTGGTGCACACCTATAATCCCCAACACTCTGGGAGGCTGAGGCAGGAAGACTCCAAGTTCTAGTCCAGCTCTGGCAGTTTAGTCACTTAACAAGACCCTGTCTCGGGGCCGGGGATTTAGCTCAGTGGTTCCGCCGCCTGCCTCGCAAGCGCAAGAACCCGAGTTCGATTCCCCAGTACCAAAAAAAAAAAAAAACAACAAGACCCTGTCTCAAAATAAGAAATGGGGTAAAGATGTAGTTCAGTGCAAAGACTCTGGGTTTAACTCCCGGTATCACACTCCCCCCCAAAAAAAGCTGCTGGAAATGTCTTTACAGAAGTTTCACAGAGATATGTTGGTGGAATTATGGGTGATTTTCTTTTCTATAATAATCTTATAAAAAATACAATTTTAAAATACCTATATGCCCAACTCATAGTGGCACTTGTTGTATTCAGAGAATTAGTAACTTGATTTCCTACTGGTTGCTCTTATACATTATAATGTAGGAATGCTGGATATGGGGATTAGGAAAGCCAGAACCAGAACCAGTCCACCTTTAGTTTAGTTAGGAAGGGAGACTTTTTTTTTTCTGGTTTTTTGAGACAGGGTCTTGCTATGTAGTCCAAGCTGGCCTTCCTCTCCTGTGTGGCTCAGGCTGGCCAAAAGCCAGGTATGGGGTGCATGCCTGTAATTCCAGCTCTCAGGAGGCTGGGGCAGGAGGATCAGTGCCAGTTCAAGACAACCTTGGCTATGTAGTGAGTTCAAGGCCAGCCTGAACTACATAGTGAAAACCTGTTTCGAAAAACGGTTACACTAATTACCTGAACTGTGCTTAGGTACTGAAGAAGACCTGGAATTCTATGTCAGGAAGTGTGGTGACATTCTTGGAGTAACCAGTAAGCTACCAAAGGATCAACAGGATGCCAAACATATCCTTGAGCACATCTTCTTCCAAGTGGTGGAATTCAAGAAACTGAACCAGGTACAGAGCGTAGGAGGCTCACTGAGGTGGGAACCCTTCAGGTAGTAGTAGAATCCATAGGCTGTTTGTCATTCATTAGTTCTGTGCATATTTATTAATTTCACATGAAATGTGGGTTGAGGGCTTAGGTACATTCTCAATATTACTCACCCCAGAAGCCTGAAGGACAGACACCAAAGCCAGAGTGAGGAGTCTGCTGTGGTCTTTGTACCAGTGCCTTCAATTCCATTTGCTGTCGCTCATCATGGTGGGTGGTGGGCAGTGGTCAGAAACCCCATCCTGGTAGAAACAAATTAATCTTTGGGTTGAGTTTAGTCCTAAAACCAGAGAAATCCTATGTGTCCTAATGAATGATTCAAAATTTCTAATTAAAATTCAAAACACCAAAGCCAGGTATGGTGGTGCATGCCTGTAATTCCAGCTCTCAGGAGGCTGGGGCAGGAGGATCACTGCCAGTTCAAGACAACCTTGGCTATGTAGTGAGTTCAAGGCTAGCCTGAACTACATAGTGAAAACCTGTTTTGAAAAACCAAAAATAAATAAATAAGTGATAATAAAATTCAAAACACCAAAGAATTGATATTTTGGGCTATGTACTAAAATACTGAAATTCTATGCTTTATTCTCTTATCCAGGAACATGATGTGGATACAAGTGAAATGGCATTCCAAAACAATTTCTGAGGACTGTGCCTCTCCAAGCATTTTCTGCCTCCTGAGTCTCTCTTTGTATTTTGAATTGTTCTTCAGTTCCTCACCAGTGTGTATACCCTCTTTGCTCTGTGAGATGTAGGTCTGTGCATTGCTTATAGTGCCTAGATAGGTAAGGTTTGTAACTTACAGAAACTTTATGGAAGAGACATTCCATTTTTAAAAAATCAAATCTATTATTGAATCTGTGCTTTTATCATTTATGAAAATCTATCATTGAAGTCTTTTTCCTGACTTCAGTTCAGGATTTGAGGCTTTTTTATTAAAGGTACGCATAACTCTCAAGCTTGTTGAAATACTGTACAGCTTTCTGGACGAATTCAAAAGAATACAAAACAAGTTTAACCCAAAATCTGTCTTTCCCACTGTACCTAAAGCAAAAGATAAAATATTAGATGTCTTCCTAAGATAGGAAGGTCACTCACCCTTTGTTTGCTAGCTGGTACAAGACATAACCATTTAGAGGCTGGAGGCTCCACCCATAACTTCCCCCTTGCTTCTGAACTACTGAAGCACTCCTGTTATTTAAAATGTGACAGTCTGCCCCAAGGAGCTAGATTGTCTTGTCATGGGACTGTGGGAGAAACTGCTTCTGCCTGAATAGGGTAGTTGTCTGGACATGCGTAATAGCGTACTGGAATACACTGGAGAACTTTGGGGAACCCTGAATGCCAGATAGAAGATTGTACTACCATTGAAAGTGTGTAAGGGTTGTGGCACAATGGGAATCATTTAGCTGGTGGGTTCAATAAAGACAGAAACACCAGCTAGGCGCGGTGGCACATGCCTGGAATCCCAGCACTCTTGAAGACTGGAAATTTAAAGCCCAGCCTGGGCAATTTAGTGACTTAGTGAGTCACTGTCTCAAAGTAAAAAAATGGTTGAGGATATGCAGTGCAAAAAAACCCTGGGTTCAATCCCTGGTACCAAGGAAAAGAACAAGGGGGAACAGCAAAAGGAGGGCCATTTAGGAGACAATGTGATACAACTGCAAGAAATGGTAACATGGCTGCTGGACTAAACTGCTGCTGTAGGAAAGGACATCTTCCTCCTCCTCTTCCTCCTCTCTTCCCCTCCCCGCTTCTTTTTATTTTTATTTTTTTGCCATACTGAGGATTGAACCAGGGCCTTCACACTGAGCTACTGAGCTACATCCCCAGCCCTTTTATTATTTTGTATTTTGAGACAGGATCTCACTGAATTGCCCAGGCAGGGCTGGAATTTAGGATCTTTCTGCTGAAGCCTTACAGAGTGCTGAGGTTACAAGCGTACATGACCACACCCAGCTGGAAATGTGGCATTTTGAAACAGATTTGACCTGGGGTTGAAGGTTTGAGCACTCAGGAGGCTGGAAAAAGTTCCGTTTAGCCTGAGCAATTTAGCAAGACCATGTCTCCAAATAAATACAAAAAAAAAAGGGCTGGGAATGTATCTCAGTGCAAAGGCCCTAGTTTCAAACCCTAGTACTGCCAAAAACCAAACCAAAGGCAAAAAAAAAAAAGCCAGGCATTATGGCACACGTTTGTAATCCCAGCACCCTGGGAGGCTGAGGCAGGAGCAGTACCCAACCTAGCAATTTAGCGACTTAGTGAAACTATGTCTCAAAATAAAAAATTAAAAATAAATTTAAAAGGCTGGGGCTATAGCTCAGTGTGAGGGTCCTGGGAGTCAGTCCCCATGCCTAGGGATTTCCTTACTTGGCAGCTCACTGTCTGATGGCAAGAGAAATTAACCTAGTGTCAAGTGGTAATTGGGCTGGGTGGTGCCTAATCCAGCACTGGTGAGGCTAGAGAAGTATGTAAACTGGAGGCCAGTATGGGCAACGTGTGTGCGTAATATGTGTGTTTATATGTATAAATAAGGAAACAAATATGAAGAAAACTATTGGTACTAGGAGTTTGTCTGGGGGGGGTCCTCTGATCCACACTGGGCTGTCAGGGAGGATTTGTGGCCCGGGCCACTAAATGCGAGCTTCCGCGACCCATTAGAGGCTGGCGAGGTCCCTGCCGTACTCCCCCTCATCCCCTGGGTCTGTCTGTCTCGGGTTCCCGCACCGCGGAAGCAGGTGATGCCGGGCGAGGGCTCCCGGGGTTCTGGCGCTAAACCCTGTGACGTCAGCGGCGCGACTCCCGTGATGCTCCGTGCTGCGTCGGGCACGGATGTCACTCTTCCCTTAAACCGCGCCCGGATAGCCTCAGTCTTTTGACGTTTGCTTGCTCTAGAGGCGACTTGGGACAGGCCACGTCACGTGCCTGAGTCACCAGGGGCCATAGGTTGACGGGTTGACGCTGAGACTTGACTTTCCATCTTAAGAGGTGCTAGAGGATCCCGCCCGGTACAGCCGCGCATTGGGCGGGCCTGTGCAGATGGTCTTCACCCGCCTCTACCAGACCCTGTGTCCACTGTCCGAACCTCTCCAACTTTGTACCCAAACTGCCTACCGGCCTGCCTGCTCTGTTGTTAATAGCAAGTGACTATTAGAAAACCAAGAACTAAGTCTTGGCCAATGCCAAGAAGCCAATGCCCCAGAAGGCCTAGGAAAGCGGTCTGGGGCTTGTCTCAGGTCTCATCTCCCTCACCAGAAACGCGAGGGATCTGGATTGGATGGTTCTTGAAACCGAAGTTCTCTCGTTTGTAGTAGTCTTCACGAAGACACAACAGGGGCTGGCATGAGCCTGAACAAACTCAGGCAGGAGTTGATGGCCCTGTCCAGTGATCAGTGATTCCAGAGAAGCCCGTACAGGCATGCAAAAGGATTTTATCCATCACCTCGTAAAGCTTCCTTGTGTAGCCTTGTGATCCCTCCTCCACTGCATTGTCATGTTAGATTGGCTTCTGTCACCACAGATCGGTTTGTAAATTGTAAACGTTTATATAAGTGGAATCATACAGTGTGTTCTCTGGCTTATTTCAGCATAATTGAGATTCACTGACATCAGTAATTTACTTTTTAATTGTTGAGTAGTATATCACTGCATGGATATCTTTTTTTTTGGTACCGGGGATCAAACTCGGGTCCTTGAGCTTGCTAGGCAGGCAGCGAAATAAATCCCCGGCCCTTGCATGGATATCTTTTATATCTGTAATTTGTTTATCTCAGTAGTTGTTGATGAATATTTGAGCTGCTTCCAGTTTGGAGACATTGCAAGTAAAGCTATGTAGGGCCGGGGATTTAGCTCAGTGGCGCTTCGCCTGCCTCACAAGCTCAAGGTCCTGAGTTCGATCTGGTACTGGAGAAAAAATAAAACTAAATACAAGTGAAGCTGTGTAAAAACTCCATATGGCCATCTACATTCATTTTTTTAAGAATAACTGGATCATACGATGGGTGTGTACTTGTAAATTTGTTTTGTTTTGTGATTACCCTGGGTTTAAGTGATCCTCCTGCACCCAGTTTAAATTTTTAAGAAACTACTGAACTGTTTCCAAAGTGGTTGTACAGTTTTACATTCCTACCAACAGTCTTAAGAATTTATTCCTCTAGCTAGGCGGAGTGGCACACTCCTGTAATCCCAGCACTCAGGAGGCTGAGGCAGGAGGATCACTTGAGTTCAAGGCCAGCCTAAACTACATAGTGACACCCAGTCTCAAAAAAAGAAAAAAATGTATTCCTTATCTTCACCATTTTGGTTTGATTAAAACTGGGGACTGAACCCAGGGACACTACCACTGAACTATATCCCCAGCCCTTTGTGTTTTCATTTAGAGGAAGGATCTCTATTATAGGTTGCCCAGGCCTTGAATTTAGAATCCTCCTACCTCAGCCTCCTCAGTAACTGGGCTTGTTACCATCCTCCAATCTTGGACTGCTTGCTGAATTTCTGTCTCATCCTGATCTTGTTTATTTTTGAGGACTTGATGCCTGTACGCCAGAAATCCGCCTTCAGATGGACAAGCCAAAACTGGTTGGCTCTACACTTGCTGCTAAAGTGTCTGCTAGAGAACCTCTAACCTCATTATAATCCCATCTGCTGGTTAAATAACACACCTCCAAGCGCCATGACAGTTAATTGCTATGAGGACCACATGAAAGAACCATAAAAGGAGTAAAAAAGAGGTGGTTTTGAGTTCCTGGAAGATCTCTGCCTATTCCCCCCAAAATACATGAGTATTCCTCCTAATCATTTGTGCCCTCATTTCTTTTACCTTATAACCTCCCAGGCCCTAAAGGGTTGAGAAGTTGATTTGTGTTAGCTCCTCCTCCTATTCTTCGCCAAGAATTAAAGTTTCTTTCATTTTGCTCAGTTGGTGCTTGATCTTGTTATTTGTTCCATAATTCCTAGAGGGAAAAAAGGATCCAGTCTGGTTTGGGATTTAAAAAAAAGAGACACCAAGAATATAGGTGTGTGCTGCTGAGCCCAGCATGATGAGTCTTTTTAATTTTAGCCATTTTCTAGTAGGTTGGTAATCTTATTGTGGTGTTAGTTTATATTTCCCTAATAACAGTGCTGAGCATCTAGTCATGTGTTTTGCTGCTGATGTATTTTGGGGTTTTTTGGGGGGGTGGATTAAAAATTTTTCTTTTTGAGATAGGGTCTCACTATGTAGCCCAGGCTGGCCTCAAACTCACTGAGATCCTCCTGCCTCCTGCCTCGTTCTCCCTGCTGGGATTATAGGTGTACTACCACCCCTGGCTATTGATGTATTTTGAAGGTAGAGTCTGAAGGTGGAGCCACTAGTTTGCAGATGGATCAAAAAAGTGATGTGAGAGATGTCAAGAATGACTCTGAGCCAGGTGTGGTAGCACACACCTGTAATTGCAGCACTTTGGGATCCCTACTGGGGACTCCTGAGCTGTTACTGGAAACCTGAAGTAGGCTCCAGTCTCCTGCCCAGTGTACGATGCAGGCCTGAGAGAAAAATACACTAAAGGGAGAAGTGAGACAGCAGGGAGCCAGGACGACCAAAGCCTGTGCAGCCGACAAAGGCACTGGCCAGTCCAAGGCACCGATTTTTATTGGTAATCAGTTGGGGTAAAGGGGAGCTATGTGCAAGGGCAGAATTACATTGGAGGATTTGCAGTCATGTGGTTTCTATGGAAATGAATGTAAGCAAGCCTCATAAAGGACAAGACAAAGCATTCTCAAATTAGAAACAATAGACAAAATACATGGTTTTAATTAGAACATTGTCCTGCTAGTTAGAAGGTTTTAGCTGTGGGAACAGAATTTGGCTGCGAGTTACTCTGACCTTGGCACATAGGCTTCAAGCCAATTGTGGGATTAACTCTTTACAGCCTGCTTTGGGGCATAATCAATATTGTGGTCCCCTGTACGTCAGAGGCTGAGGCAAGAGGATCACCGTGAGTTTGAGGCCAGCCTGTACAACATAGGGAGATCCTGTCTCAAAAAGCCAGAAAAAAAAAAAGAATGACTGAACTCTTGCTAATCTGAGAAATTATCTAATCTATTGGCTGTTCTTGTTTTTTTCTCTTTTGTACTGGGGATCAGGGATCAAACTCAGGATCGGGAACTTGCGCTTGCAAGGCAGGCAGCAGAACCACTGAGCTAAATCCCCAGCCTACGGGCTGTTCTTGTGCTATTCCCTACTTCCCATATTCTGAAACCACCCAGCTCCAAAGAGCCTTTAGGGACCTAAATGGCTGGGCATTCAAGGCCTTGGCCTTCATAGAGATAATGTTCTGCTTACTATCTTCCCTACCAATTGGTGAACTTTTGTAGAGAATATGGATGTTTGGGGTGTCTCAAGACCAAACTCTGGCACTAGCCTCAATTTTTTCAGCATATTTTTACAGACAGAATTTACCAAATTTACATTTAAAATCGTGAGCACTTTGCTTCAATCTACCCATCCATTTTAGCTGTGTGATCAGGGCAATTTGCTTAATAAATTTTTTTTTTCTGAAGAATGACCAAAATCAACTCTTTATAACTGTATAAATGTCAGAAACATGCTATAAATAAGCAAACTACCTCTGTTCACTGATGTGTATATGGACTCCCTAGTTGTCTCATCGGGTTTAATTACAGACCACTCACAGTAATAGATTTTTAGTATAAAGTGTAGCAGGATGTTAAGGCATTTTAGCTTTTATGCATACATATTGCACTTCTGGGTGATCATGGAGAAGAATCAGCAACATTATGGTGTTAAACTAGGTTGCGACCATGTGTATCCCACTCTTCTTATCTTTGAAATGTGGGTGGGGCATGTAGCTTAGTGGTAGAGCTCATGCCTGGTGTCCTGATGGCCCAGAGTTTGATCCCCAGCACTGCAAACAAACAAAAAGTTAAGGAGGTTGACCCGAAAGTAGGCAAAAGGCAGGTGACCTTGCTGGGCATGGTGACACACTCCTGTGATCCCAGAACCCTGGGAGGCAAGGAAGATGGCAAGTTTGAGCCCAGTCTGGGAAATTAGCAATTCAGCAAGACCTTGTTTCAAAAAATTTTTTAAAAGTGCTAGGAATGTAGTAATGCAAAGGTCTAGATTCAATTACAATAGTTTAAAAAAAGAAAAAAAAAAGGCAGGTGACTCTACCTATCATCACTGTTTGTTTTGCATCTAGCTTGGTGCTGGCCCTGAGCATTTGATCCTTGTATTTCCAAGGGAAATACAGGACAGGCCCGGAGTCTGGAACCTTAGGTGGTCAGATGATGGAATAACCAGGGCTAGAGCCTCCACACTCAGAAAGACCACATCCAGGAGATTTTTCCAGCAGAGTTGAGAATGTATGTGGCTGCACCCAGGGTGCTGAGAGTTTTCTCCTCAGGGGGTGGTGATAAAATAATAACTAGAGAGGACACTCTTGTGGAGGTCACCAGATCGCATTAGCTCTAGTCTGCTCTCCCTGCCACCTGACCCAAGGCACTGGCTCCCTGATTCCTCTGGCTATAGATTATTGATCAACTGCCCTCGGTGCTAGGTTCCAGGTGAACTCTGAACCTGCTCCCTGCCTCTTGCCTTGAGCAAATATCTCTCTCAAATGACCAAGTCCTGGCTTGCCTTGAAATGGGAGTAATAATCCATTGAGAGTATGCTCTGTTAAAAAAAATAAAAATAAAAAATAAACAGTGTATGCTCTGTGTAGAGCAGCTTTGTGATCCTCAAAGGTTAAGTGACAGGGCAGCTGAAGAGTCTGAATAATAAAATAATAAGAAAAAGCTGGGGATTTAGCTCAGTGGTTCCAGCGCCTGCCTCAAAAGTGCAAGGTCCCAAATTCAATCCCGGGTACCAAAAAAAACGTAAAAAAAAAAAAAAGGCAGGAGTGGTGGTGGATGCCTACAATCCCAGCTACCTGAGAGACTGAGGCAGGAGGATCACAAGTTGGAACCCAGGCTGGGCAATTTAGCAATTTATTTATTCCCTCCCCCCCTCGAAATTTAGCAAGTCCTATCTCCATTTTTGATTTGTTGTTGTTTTGAGACCAAGTCTCCTGAGGGCCGAGATTATAGCGTGTACCACCATGCCTGGCCCATTTCTCAAATTAAAACCTGAAAAGCGTTGAGGATGTAATTCAGTGTGAAGGCCTTTGGTTCAATTTCCAGTATGCAAAAAAAAAATTTAGTATAATAATAATAATAATAGCTAGGGCTGGGGATTTAGCTCAGTGGTTCCGGCGCCTGCCTCGAAAGCGCAAGGACCCGAGTTTGATCCCTGGTACCAAAAAAAAAAAAAAGGTAAACAAATATATACTCTACTTTCTTGGGCTTTCCCCTACTGGTACTGGGGCCATCGACCACTGAGCTACCTCCAGTCCTCTACCCTCACCCCATACTGAGGATTGAAGCCAGGGCCTTCACATGGAGCTACATACATTCCTAGTCCTTTTAAAATTATCTATCTAGCCAGGTGTGGTGGCACACACCTGTGATTCCAGCACTTGGGAGACTGGGGCAGGAGGATCACTGTGAGTTCAAGGCCAGCCTGGGGTACATAGTTTAAGGCCAGCCTGAACTACATAGCAAGACCCTGACTCTATGAGCAGGGGATTTAGCTCAGTGGTTCAGGCGACTGAGTGCCTTGCAAGCGCAAAGTCCCAAATTCAATCCCTGGTACCAAAAAAAAAAGAAAAAAAAAGACCCTGCCTCTAAATAAATAAATAAAAATTATCTAGATATCCAGCCTGGGGATTGAAGCCAGGGCCTTCACACTGACCTACATCCCCAGCCCTTTTTTATTTTTTCATTTTGAAATAGCTAAATTGCCCAGGCTCGGCACAAATTCACCATCGTGGCTCAGCCTCCCAGAGCCGGTTTATAGGCCTGCTCCACCACATGCAGGTAAAACTTTTTTTGTAGAAGAAATTTACATTTATAAAGAAAATCTACAGTAAAAATTCTGCATTAGGAAGAGAACTGCTCCGGATAAATTTTATTACCTGAGAGACTGTATCTGCATAACAAGACAACTTTCACTCACTATGCAGTTCCTTCCCTTACCCTGCAGTAATCTGTGTCACCAGGAACCCAGCCAGAAGCCCCAGTTCTGCCCCCTATTGCTTTCTTTCCTTTCTCTCTTTTGTTATTATTTTTGTGGGGGGTGGTACCGGGGATTCAACCCAGGGCCTTCACACTAAGCTATATCCCCCTCCCCCTGCCTTATTTTTAGTTTTCTTTTTCTTTCTTTTTTTTTTTTTTTGGTACTGGGGATCAAACTTGGGACCTTGCGCTTGCGAGGCAGGTGCCGGAACCACTGAGCTAAATCCCCGGCCCTTTAGTTTTCATTCTGAGACAGTGTCTCACTGTTGCTAAGTCACCCAGGCTGGGTTTAAATCTATGATCTCCTACTTCAGGCTCCCAGAGTGCTGGTATTACAGACTTGTATCACTAGGCCTGTTCCCTATTGCTTTCTTTTTTTTCGGTACTGGGGATCGAACTCGGGACCTTGGGCTTGTGAGGCAGGTGGGGAAACAACTGAGCTAAATCCCTGGCCCCTTATTGCTTTCTGTAAATCAAGAAGCTTCATTTGCCTGATCCTTTGTGTGATTCCCAAGGCTATGTGAGTAGTTTAATATGACTTTTCTCCTGTCAATATGATTTTGTTTGTTTGTTCTTGGTTTTTTTGAGACAGGGTCTCACTATGTAGTTCAGGCTGGCCTTGAACTCACTGTGTAGCCCAGGTTGGCCTCAAATTTTCAGCAGTCTTCCTGCCTCAGCCTCCTGAGTGCTGGGATTACAGGTATGTGGCACCATGCCTGGCTGTTTTATGTCAATTTAAATTGTAGCCCCCTCCCCAATTGTAGCCCAGTCAAAGAAGCTAGAAGGGTTCTGGGGAGCAATTTCTT